ACCCCCCCAGCATCTCGACTTTCCCTTCATACATTGTAATATGAATAAATCAGGAGCTTTTTTTGTTCTTGTTATTTTTATACCTTTGGAGTAGCAGGGCTTATCCAGGCCGACCGTGCCGAAAGGAGCGACCACTTGCTCCTTCAGCTGGTGTCAGCAGCTGTTTCACTGACCCTCTGTTATGTCTCAACATGGGGGGGGGTCCTGCAGACAAAACATTCCTTTTACCTTTTTTTTGCAGAACTTTTTAGAAATCAAATCCAGACCAGTGTGTGCACATAGTTAGCACGCTGCAGGTTGTAAGGCACGTGCAAAGAGATTCATTTCATTTACAAAGTCAAGTCTTAGACTGGAAAATATTAATCTGATCATGCAACATGACACTTTAAATCAGATTAATAGTCTGTTTTAGTTTACTCCTATGTAGGTTTGCATTTAATAATCTGCTCCAATCACATGAAGACAGTTTAGTTTTGTGTTACACTGCAACTGTTCAAATTTAGAGTCAGCGTGTTACTGTTTCTTGTTGGACGAAACCTTTTCAGATAAATCCAAAGTTATTTGATCTGTTATTTCCAACGTCCAAACAGGAAGTTACAAAGGACATGTCTTGTGTTGACACATGCCATATTCCTCTTTCTGTCTTCTTGTGCAGAAGAAAGGAAAGGAGCCAGGAAATGACATGGCAGGTTTACTTGAAGCAGACGGAGGCTGTGGAACAACGCTGGCTAAGAGCGGAGGATGGTCCCACCACAAAGAGGACAAGACAAAAGGGCAGAGCACGCCATGAATCATATGCTGCTGTCACCTGACCCTGAGCCATAAGCCTCCACTGTGACTCTGTCTGCCTCTTATGTAACCACTGTAGCTGTGGTGGCTCTGAGCGTCCCCGTGTCCCCGAACCCAAACAATCCTGACAGTCTGTGACTACTGAAGACAACGGACGGGACGCTGTGAAGATCAGGAGGCAAAGACACACCAACCAGTTTGTCTTCAGGCTGAAATATGCTCAATGTGTTTAATAACGTTTTGTTTATTTAGTTGCTTCAGATGTTTCTTTGATTTTGAAAAATGCACACATTAAAATACAGGAGAAAATAAAGACAGAACATCAACTGTTACGTAATAAAACGTGAATTCTGGGATAAAGCTCAGCTGCTGGAACAACTGGTTCTGGTGTCGTGTGCTGGGATGAGTTGTTGGTCAACTTTACTCAGGAAGGAACAAATGAAAACATCCATCCATCATCCATCCATCCATCATCCATCCATCCATCATCCATCCATCCATCCATCATCCATCAATCAATACATCATCCATCCATCC